TATTTTCGAAATATTCACATTTATATAGATATATACTGATTATTTATTAGATAATATTAAGATAATAACTCATCACAGCTGTGTTATTCTCACTATAAGAGATATACAGTTAATAATAAATATTATAAAGACTCTGAGAAGTAAGTATTTTAAGAGTACTGCAGCTCTGTGATCTTGATTTTTTTTATTTTTATTTTTTTTTTCTTTCTCTTTTTTTTTTCATGCTGATTTTTTCTTGTTTTGGTTTTATTTTTTATTTTTTGTTTTTTTTTTATATTTTATATTTTTTTTATAATTAAAATTATATGAATTATGATCTGTGTTTAGAAAAGTAATAATATTTAATAACACTCTCTGTTGAATTTTCAATAAATGAGCACTATGTTATGATATTATGTAAGTGAGAAGTGATTTCATAATTTTATTTAATATCATTCTCAATAATGAGATCAGAATGAAAATGTGACTAAGAATTTAAACATATTCTTTATTTAGAACTAGATTTTTATTTAAAAAGTGAATCTGAGATCTTTAATATTTGAAATAATATGATTTGAGATCAATGTAATAAATACAAATTATAATCAAAAGTAATGCTTTTAGACAATATAATAACTGTAAAGTTTAGTTCTAGTCTCAGATATAATCACATAATCAGTCTAGACACAGTCTGCCACAATTATTTTTATAATAACTATATATTATTTATACTTTAAAATTGTAATTTAAATAAATTATTATATCAAATCATTTAAATATATTAATATTTCATAAATTATTTTTCAAAATTTAAAATTTCAGGAATTTTCAATATTTTACTTGTACTTTATAAAAAGAATTATAATAAAAAAATAAAAAAATACTTAAAAATTAAAATATAGAATTCTTATATAAAATAATTTAATATTTATTAAATTATAATATATTTATATAAGAATTATTATTTTTAACAATATATAAATATATATTTCTTAATTTTGAATAAAATATTATATATTTTATTTTACTGTATTTTATTTTCTAATTAAATCTATATTTTAATCAATTTTAACTATATTATAATAATTTTGAATTTTATTATACTATAAGTCTTGATATTTATCAATTTCAAATTAAAAAATTAAAATAATGAATATTTATTGAGATACTAACATTTAAAGTTGATTGTAGTTAATTTACAAAGGCGAGTGTTAGGTGGAAATGAGTGTTAGATAATTGATTACGTTATAGACTTTAACTGTTGACTCTTACAGCTGTTGCGGTTAGTGATCCCACTAGATCACGTGACCCACCACTATATTATGTTCTTGTAGATAGATCTATCAATACAATCTTTAACTATTCTACAGGTTATAGTCTGAATGACATATTTTTCTTTTTAGAATGTTATATCAATATTTTTGACACAGATAGTTCATCTTTTTCAGAAAGACTTTCACTCTTTATTAAAGATATTTCATTTTCTCTGAATCTACCAGTCAGCAGATTCATATACTTTATATTTTTGAGAAAGCGCGTTCTTCATTGTGAAGAATATCACTTTTTTATTTTTTTTACATATCTCAATATGAGCGATACATCTGTTACTTCAGAGTTCAGCTCAAGACTCAGAACTACATGCTTCACTAGACAACTCATTGATAGAATAACTACTCATTATAAGAAGGCTTCTGACTTACAAGATGAGACTGAGGTCAGTTTTCACCAGAGTATGAAATTTGATGATGAGACAATGAAGAAACTTCAGAACAAAGAAAAGCAGAGTTAATATTCATCTACAGAATCTGTTCATTCTAACTTATCAAATTCTTCATTATCTTTCATCTCTGAAATGCTGATTTTTAATAATGATCTGAATCAACCTATCTATTACACTGCAGGCAATCTTATGAATCTTATACAGATGATGCTATGAAATCAAATGACTGCAGCTGAAATCACTCAACATCTCACTATATCTGTCTCTGCACAAAGAGACACTATGAGAAATGAGTTACAGAAATATCAGAAGAAAGTCAAATATGTACTAGATATCAAATCAGTGATCACATTTGATGACTCTAATTATAAAGCCTGGTATATTAACATGTTGACTGATGCAGAAGTTATTGATGAAACTGACATTTTATTAAGAACTCAACAAGAATTCTCTTTTACATATTATATTAACTCTGAGAAGTGAAGAATTCATTCTAAGTCTCTATATAGATGTATGCTATCAAGTCTTGTTGAAAATATGTAAATCACTATTGAAACCTTGAAAGCTGACAATGCTGCAGCTCTGTGAAACAAGATCAATGTTGAATATACAATATCACTGACAGAAGAATGAGTTAATATCTTCAAGAAATTGATAAAATTATAAGTCAAGAAGAATGATTATCTTACTTTTCAGAGATATTTTCACTATCTTGTTATCTATCACAAGAAGCTCTGTTAGAGTACTGAGAATGTATATCATAATCTTTTTCTTAACAATCTACAAGATTATCAAAGATCATTTGTCAAGATATATTTGAATGAGTTTTTCTCCACTGATTAGAGACTCATTGTCAACATTGATATTAATAATTTGATAAAGCAACTGATCAATTGTATATTCAAGAAGATCATCACTGAGCAGAAAAAGCAGTCTCAGACTGATTCTGTGACTGTGAAAAAGAACAAGAACAATGATGAGAATAAAAGCATATCTGTATAAAAGTGCACTCACTGCAGAAGACATGAATATACTGTTGACAGGTGTTTCATCTTACACTCTGATAAAAAGAAAAAGAAGAATGATAAGAAGAATGATAAGAAGAAAGAGAAGAAGAATGACTTAATGAGTTCTCAATCAGCAGCAAATGCAGCAATTACAAAGATTGAGTTCTATTTCTCTTTCACAGTCACTGAAAAATCATTCTTTAGATCTTGATATTTGAACACATGTGTAAGCCTGAATATGATGAGTGAGCTTCATTCTTTTTCAAATATTAAATCTTTTAATGATAACATCTCTGTTAATTCTGTCACTGAGAAAACTGAGTTTGTTAAGAAGATTGAAACTGTCACCTTGAAGATTGAGAGTGATGATATTAACTTGCAGAATATTCACTATATCTCTAATATTACAGTTAATCTGCTCTTATTTATAAAGCTTGAAGATCAGAGATTCTGATTTACATTGTCTTTCACTATTCTCTTGTTTTTCATTTACAGAGCTCTAAATAGTGTTATTTTTCATACAGTTCAGACTGCTCAGAACAACATATATAAGATTGATAAACAGAAGTTCAATGAGAATCTTAATTATCTGAACAAGGCAGTCAAGTATATTGCAATGTCACATGAGTATGATTTTAACTGAAAAGTTGATCTTTCTGTGACTGCTATCACTACTGTTAATAATGTCAATTCTGTGAATGTGAAAACACAGACATCAAAGATATCAAAGACTCTTTTGAATTGATATTATAATCTTAGTCATATTCACACTGATACTATAATTGCTACAGTCAAGAATCTCTATACTGCAGTCATAATTAAAGATTCTAAGACTAAGTTCTTTTGCAAAGAATGTGTCAAGACAGATATGACATGAGATTATTTGAAAACACTGATATCTAGATCTATTCAACTCATTGAGAAGGTTCATATTAACCTTGTAGATAGCAGATATACATTGAAAGATCTCTCTGATCATTTCTTAGAGTCTCATCAGAGAATTAAATACTGAATGCTTATCATCTATGATGCAACTCACTATCATTGAGTATATTTTTTAAAGTTCAAGAATGAGACTGTTCAATACTTTGAGTTGTGACTCAGATTCATGAGTAATCTCAGATATACAGTCTCTGCTTTTCTACAGACTGATATTGATGATGTTTTTCAATTCACACATATACACACAGTTATGAATTCATATGATATTAAATAAGAATCAACAGAATCACATTCATCACATCAGAATGATGTTTCTGAACATGAGATCTGCACTATCATGAAATGAGTTAGAGCTGCTCTTTTGAAAGATAATCTTTCTAAGAAGTTCTGAGCAGATGTTCTAGAGACAGTGATTGTAATAATTAATAATACTCTCACATCTACAGTTCTTTATAACTCAAAATTTTGGTCCTCTACTACAGAGATCTCTGTGATTTCAAGTTCATATAAGATTTCTTGATATGTACTTATAAATACCCTGCTGAATATGAGGCATTTTCACTGATTAAGTGCAGAGATTTTTATTCACTTGTATGAATCTTAGCAGCCCGCGGATAAGTGCTCTTCATGTGCTGATTCATATCATATCATTGAATTCAGTGACACATTGATATATCACCTATGACATTCTGAATCTGACAAGATTATTGTCAGTAGTGATGTGAGGTTTCTGATCATCAAAAAACCAGTTATTATATCTATGAAACTTATTAATCATGTTATTGAACTGGTTGTCACATCTGTGACACTCATTAATAATGCTGGCAAATCAGAACCTGATATTCATCTGATTGATGATGAAGATGCTTCTGATATTAATGATCTGAATTCCACATGATTGCAGCCTGCGAAATCGCTGGCTACATACACTTCAAGCCTTATTACAGATAACCTCCCGAAGTTCTACAAGAATGTCACATCACAGCCAGGGAGAATAGAAGATTATTGAAAGAAGTTCATACAATGCAAGATTACTGACCTGAAGAGACACAATATATGAAGTTTGATTCCTAGATCTGATGTTCTGAGAGATGAACTGATTACTTCAGACTGTTGAGTATTTCTTGAGAAAGATAGGCCTGTGAACTCAAATACTGATTCTGATAATATTCTTAGAAAATCACATTGAATGATTTATAATAACTGATTTAAGAAGAATTCTAGAGAAGAGATCTACACTTCTGTCATCACTGATACTGTCAATCATATTCTTTTTACAATAGCAGCACTACACAGTTGAATACTCTGTTAAGTGAATATAGTGATGATATATCTGCATGAATATCTCACTAAGAAGGTCTATATAAGATAATTCACTGAATTTGAGACAGATTCACTGAAGACACTTATCTACACAGTTGAGAGTAATCTATACAGTCTGAACTCTGCAGTGAAGATCTGATATAATTACTTAATAACTCTATTAAGTAATCTTGAATTTACAGTCAGTGTCTATAATCTGACACTCTGATATCATACATTTAGATATTATCTCTATATAATAATCTATATTAATGATCTTAACATTATATTCAAAGTTTCTGAGAATGTTAATTAACTAGTGAGTATACTTAGTGAGAAATTAAAAGTCAAGAATCTATATCAGTCAATCAAGTATTTGAGTATGAAGATTAATTATTCAGATAAGAGAATTAATTTAATATATTATTAATATATTAAATATTTTATTAAAGATTTCTATCTTGATAATACAGCTATTATCAGAATATCAATAAAGAATGAATTCTGTATTAATAATTTCTCTATATCTGAGAAAGAGACTGATTTCATAATTCAATAATATTAACATGATGTGAATTGTTTATAATATCTTACAGTTAAAACACATTCTGATATTACTTATACTATCTTACCACTCACTTAACAGAATATTGATTCAATATTTTAATATTAAAAGACTCTATTACATGTTATATATTATTTAAAAGAGATTATAAATCTAGACATTTTCTACAAATGCAGTCTGTATAAGAGATTTATTTCTACTGATCTTTCTATTCTCTCTGATTTCTCTGATAATTTCTATCTACTCTTCAGCTACTTGAATTCTGATTGAGTCAGTCTCTTGAATAATAATAGAAAATTAATATTCAGCTATATTTTTAAGCTTATAGACAGTCTGATTTTATAATGTTCAGTGAAGCAATCTTGTATATCTCTAAGTTTTAATAAGACTGAATATGTGGCTCTTAGTGAGACAGTCTGTGAGATAATATAGATTTAGAATCTTATGATTAAGCTTGACTTTATCACTATATCTCTGATACAGATTCTCACTGATAATAAGAGTATTATAAATCTCATAAAGATGACAGTTATTACAGTCTGAAGTAAGCATATTGATACATGTTTTCATTTTTCACATTGACAGTTGAATTAGAGAGTCATTGATTTAGAATATATTCTCATCACTCAGATAACAGCAGATGAACTCACTAAATCTCTAAACACTGTGATATTTATATAATTCATGATTTTGCTAGGTCTTACAGGCATAAAAGTTGGGAATGTTTAATTTTACATTTGTATTTGGTTTTGACAGACTATCTTGGTGGTTTGGGTGTTTTTGTATGTGATTCTTGTTATCTCGAGGGGGGGTGTTGGCCCTTACAGCTGTTGCGGTTAGCGATCCCACTAGATCACGTGACCCACCACTATATTATGTTCTTGTAGATAGATCTATCAATACAACCTTCAACTATCCTACATTAACTTCTGCACGCGTCTTAGTCAGCCGCCGTCGCGACCGGATCAGTTTGGCGTGTTTTCTCTTTTCAGCGTGTCTCAATCAAACGTCGACGGATTATCTCAACTTCGAACGTCCTGAAAGCGATGATAGTGTGGACTAGCTAAACATCTTAACCATGCTACATTCAATTACTACGGTGGTCTCATGATTGCTCTTTGTTTTTTTACTGTTCTCCCAGGGCTGTTGTATTCTGAATCTATGAACCTTTCCCGTTTTATTCCTTATCTCCTGGTGCTGGGGTTGGGTGATAATCCCAGCTTTACGATCCTTCTGTTTCTCTGTGTTCGGGCCCCATTCAGCCACCCTTCAATCCAAATATGGTGGAAGTCCTGAGCCTCAGTGCTCTTCCTGCGCGCCCACCTACTCCCCCGCGATCATCCTCCTTTGATTCAACAGTGTCCAAGTCCGAGATCCAGCAGCCGTCCAGCCATCAAGTTCCCCTCTCCACGCCAGACGCCGGGTCTTCGCCATTGAACTTGTCATCCTTTCTCCAATCCAGCGGCCTGCCAAAGAGAGTCAATTTCTCCCCTATGACCAGCTATATTAAACCTCCGTCCTTTGCAAGCTCTAACAGCCAGAAGTCGAGAACACCACTCCGAGCTCTGCCGCCTTCAAACCAATGCAAGCCGTCTAAATCGATTCTCAAATCTTGTTGCTCGTCGCCTGCCTCAAATTCATCCGACGCGCAGGCAGTTAACCCATCTGGCAACCTGCCTAGCATGTTAGAATCCATCTCCAAGCAGCTCGCGGGCGACTCGCGCACCTCTAGGGCCGACGGATACCAGCACCTGCTGGGTGCTTTGACTGCATACTGCAACATTCCAGAAGAGAGAGCATTGGCAGATAAGGTTGAGACATTCTCACAGTACATCCGAAGAGATATCTGCGAAGTATCGGGGACCTACCAACCACTCGATATCAAAATCGTACACCAGGCGTTGAAGTTGTTCGCCATGTTCATCTATGAGCCGAATTTCTCTTCTCGACTCTCAGACGAGCTAAAGGTTTTCATGGTTGATCACGCAATCTCCTCTCTTCAAAATCCGAATGTACCAAAAAATGTTGCAATTGAGTATATGCGTATATTATCCGTGCAAAAATTGTCGCCAAAAATTATGACGAGCAATCGAGTAGCACTTATTCTGGCTGTGGTTAAAGACGTTACAGACCGGGTAGAAGGCAAAGCGGTGATTGCACAGCGTCTAGCCATTTATGTAAATCTTCTATTCCTATCGCAGCAAACCATGGCGTCCCACGCTGGCTTGTGGATGGATCACCTTATAACGGCCCTGCTTCATAATTTCAAAGAGGTACGAACAAGGGCGATCAGACTTGGTAAGTTGGTTTCAATGGCACTTGGTCCAAACGCCACCGTCTCCAATGCATTACGGGAAGTACTTGATGTTCCGCTAGAAAATGGCTCTCCTTTTGTCTTGGAACTTTGTGGGCGATTATCGGGCATGATACCAAATCCCGAAAGTGGTTCACAAGTGCCGCAAATTTGGAGTATCATCATCCTCTTGCTTCGAACCAGGCGATGGCCCATTGACAATTGGACCCATTTGAAGGACTGGCTTCTAGTTATTCAAAAGTGCTTCAACTGCAGTGACCTAACGACAAAATCCCAAGCTCTCATCGCTTGGGATTTGTTTGTTTATGCTTTCCGCCGAACGAGTCCACCAGTACAGATATCACTAAAATATTATTCCGACCAATCCTTTCGCAACTTGAGAGGAAGAAATCTGACAAGCAGGGTATCCTACTCAACCAAGCGTTTACGAGTTACCACAAACTTCTCTATTACGCCTTTCGGCCTTCGGCCTCTCATCGTCGTCTGGCCTTCTTCTGGACATTATACATTGGAACTCCACTCTCAGGAAACCTGAATTCCGACCCAACTAACAATGAGCGCTTGTGTCGGATACTGTCTTTTCTTCTCTGGAATCAGCGGCCAAGGGTTTGGGAAGAAGACAGGATCGAAATTAACAAGGGAACCGCCCTTGAACCGGAGGATCTCCCAAGGCTGGACTGTAAATGGATTCGATCTCGGTTATCAATTATTCTCCCTGTATTCACATCGCTATTCAAGACCTCAGCCTGGAATGATGATGATTTGGCTAAGTCAGGGATTGGACTCGCGTGGACAAATCTTTCAAAAGCTCTAGGCGATGCTTCCATCCAGGAGATTACCCCTTCATCAGAATCTATGCAGGCGATTGCCAGTATCTTAGGGACTTTGCAACGCGTTTGGAGGACAGCTCCGCTCTCATTAAATGTGAACGGCGAAGAACGGAGTGACACATTTTATAATCGTTTCAAATTCCTTTTGACTACAATTGTCTCGTTCACTGGGCCAATTCTATTTACGGACAAGTTACTCTCACAAGTATCTCAGGACAGGTTTCAAACCGCCACCACTCCTACACACCAACGACGATCGGCGAACGACAATGTCAAATCTCCTATACTTCACTTACTTCAGTTAATTACATTTTCGCCGTTGTCCTCATCGACAACCAGCCCCGAATATTTTCAACTACTTCATGGCATAATCGAGATGAGTGCGCAAGGAAAATCATCGAGGAATGCCAAGCTGCGAACTCTTCGTCAATTTGCAGACATATTCTTAGAACAATCGGGAAATGTTTCTTCCAATCTGGAATGTTTGTCCAACTGCCACTATGTATGGTACAACATAGCCAAGCTGGCTAATGAATGCCTTGCGACCTTCCCACTGGAAACTGAGGTTAAAAAACATGACGATTCAGCGTCTAATGACTACGACAACGTAATAGCTATCCTTGTTGCGGGGTCTGCTTTTGAGCCAGTATTTTTAGAGTGGTCCTTGCTCCTTGATTCACTCGGTTCTATTGTTCGAGCCGAGAAGGGTGAAGCTACTTTAGCTACTACCCTTGAGACGCTAGCAGAAGCCATCAGCTCCCAACCACTATCAGCAATCGCTGGCCATTGTGCAGCTCTACTAGACTTAATCAAACTCCAGGAGCATCCTCCATCCTCGCTGCATCCGTCACTTAACAAATCACCATTCGCGCATCGTCAAAGCCAACCTCATCTTTTCAACAACCTAATTGAACTAGCCAACAGGGTGCTGAAAGCAATATACGTTAAGTTAGCGGACATTGATCATCGTCGCATTGTTAGATTCCTAGACTCCACGACTAAGCTTATTGATCGATGTCCATCGTCGTTCGGTCCAGCTTTACTCAGCGGGTTACAGGAGTCTTTAGGCATATGGCTAATTGACCGTGATGGTTTGCTCACTAGCAGACCAGATGTGGACAGTACCATTAGTATCTCAGTACGTTTTGAGAATTTATTCCTCTGTCTCAAGAGTATGCTAATGACAATAGGCGCGACAATTGACGTTATCGACCGCTAAGTTGTTTCAAAAATCAGCCGAGTCGGGAGACAGTCTATTACAGAAGTTATCAACGCTGATCACATCTGGGTTGGAATCACGACATAAATTTACTCTGAACCACTTCATCAAATTATGGAATAATTCGTTTGGTTCCAAAGAGACGCCGGTATATCCTGAAAATGTGGAAAGAGCTCTGAGAAGGCTGAAGCCATTCGTGCATCTCGTGCTGCCAAACTTTCCGCCAGCGGGAGACTCCACGGTATGTACATGTACATGTACATTGTTTTATATTGAAGTGAATAGATTTTGACCTCATTCTAGATTGATGTTCCTTCTCCCGAATTCCTTAGCTCTCAAGAAGAACTAGCTCGGTCCGAAATTCCCATTAATCCCCTTGAACACACAAACAAGATTTGCATGGCTTTTTCTCCGAATGCTGCACAACGCACCCCGCCCCCCAGGCCAAATAATGGCTACCGTCGGAACAGGAGGACTCCATCAACGACCAAGATCACAACACCCAAGCCTCGGCTTCCACATGATGATTCACACATTCAATTTGTCCCTGGCGATTCCTCTCCAAGAATCAATCCTGCTAGTGATACGCAGGTGCTCACTGACCGTCAAAGGGAGGTAAGGGATAGGCAGCGAGGCGAGACCGCGGAGTTATATCCAGGTCTTCGTTCCTCCGATTCGCAGCTTGGCCGGGAGACAAGCCACCCACTGCGCGCGACGAAGCTTGGAGATCTTGAGATCGAAAAGAGTACTCCGCCGAGTCTCATACCTCAACTTGCCACCGCGGACAGCAAGGAGGAGTTCCTTGGTTCTTCACCAACTCCAACTGCCAAGACCTCAGTTGTGCAGTCAGATCAAATGATCGGATCGCCCTTACCATCTGAGTTGGGCATCGCTAGTCTACATTCAGAGGACCCACCCTCATCCCCTCCTCAAATACAGACCCCTGAAATCCGGAACGTAGAAGCGTCCGAGACCAGACGAATTTGCGATATCAAAGATCAGGATGTTATTATGAATGGTGATCTGTCTTCCCCTCCAAGGAGCTCGCCGACACCAACCAGTGGTAACACCAGTCGTCGCCGAAGTCTTTTAAGCTCCAGGAAAAAGTCTGAACGGAGGGTGACAAGATCCAACAGAGCCAATAACTCAGAGCCTATAGAAACCAAGTCAAAATCACATTATCCATCATACCCCCAAACCGAAAATGCCAGTCCAGTGCCATTAGAGGCAGGTGGTGATGAGAGACCTCCTACCTCGAAACGAAACAATCGCATCGCAATGATTGGAGCCGATAGGATTGATATTATTCCAGACTCTTTCAGCGATGATCTTGAAAAGCAGATAGCATCTCAGCTTGAACAAGACCTTGAGTTGTCAATGGATATGGAAGTCTCAAGTAGAAGAACGGAAGAACCAAACGCTTCATTTGTGACGCGATCGATGAAACGAAAAAGGGAGGACATGCCTTCGGGCCTGTGTGATCGCATTAAACGAGTCTCTCCAAATAAGCGAAGCGATGCTGTAGATGATAGGGCGATTGATTCGGAGAATATCTCTTCTCAGCAGGAAAATACCACTTCTACAAGTGAAGTTTCACAGTTGAAACGATCGAGTCGATCATCACGGAGAAAGGCGAATTCAATGCTTTATACTGCGGAGGCTTTCAATTCCTCGTCCGATATTGGCCAATCTCCAAGTCCACGCAAGTCCAAGAAACGAAGATCCGTTCGCTTGAGCTGTCAACTAGCATTACCAGAAGACTCCATAGAACAAACCGACCGACTAACGACACCGCAAATTTCGCCTGATTCGAAAAGAGCAGAAGATACAGCAGCCGATATAGCCATGAGCGATCAGCCCGAGCATTCCACTTCCAGAGAAGCGGGTCTTGCCAGTTCAGCGGAACTAGAAACCCGATCAGACAGGGTGGAAAGTTCAGGGGTTGGTATACTTGCGTCTCTACGTTCAGTGTTGGGATCGCTCAGGACGGTAACATTTGGTAGACCTGTACTCCGTGAGATTGAGGATGTGATGTTTGATATCAAAGTGGAAGCACACGATGCTGCAAGACGACATGGTGGAAGTTTGTGAGAGAGACGGCCGTGCTGTATGGTTGTGCATTGTTTCTTGCCCCTTCCCTTGCTAACTCATTTAGTGGGTTGCTTTGTATTTCTTCCGTTACTATCTCCTTTTATAAATAATGCGGGCAGTTTTCTTCCCATTGTTCCTTTCCTTCAATTTTCGCTTTCTGTTCGGAATTAGGATGGGGGCGTCATAGGGATATTTTTGGCTCTGTATTGTATTCTACGCATACGAAGCTGCATTATTGACGAAGTTGAACTGCACGCGCAAATAAGAAGCCGATAAACCAGGATCCCTGTTGCACCAGACGGGCATAGTCTGCTTTGTTAGGTGTGTTTCAGATTGGTTGCAGCCGGAGTCTAGAATGCCGCGCGCAGTTCATCCATAATGTTCATGCTGATTATTCGCTCCATTTCGTCACTGTTGGCTTCCTCCACGGGCGGCTCTTCCTGGCGTTTCATTCCACGGCACTGATACCCCGCTACAATCCAATAGATATATATATATTTTGACCAAATACGTACAATATTTAAAACCTCCGCTGCTTATACTATTATTCTCCTTCTATCTTACAATATCCACCATCTATTTCCCAATAAACTGATCCCATTCCATACCTAGGCAGGCTGATACCTCCTTTTCCCCGCCATAGAGTAATAAGAACTAACAAACCAACCATTAGCGAAAAACACCCACCACCATGGAGCGCGCAAAGAAGCCCCCAGCCATTCCCGTCTCCTCTCCTCTCCCACAGCCCACCATCACCATCTCCGTAGAAGAAGACAAGGTCCAAGCGTCGCTAGCATCCGGTGAATCCGTCACCGTCAACCTACTTGGCGCGACTGTCGTTGCGTGGAAACTTGCCGAGGGCGAGGAACAGCTATTCCTAAGCCAGAAGGCTGTTTTGGATGGCTCCAAACCTATCCGTGGGGGTATCCCATTGGTTTTTCCTGTTCGTACCAGATATTATTTTCTTTTTATTTTTCATTCCATTCCTTCTCCGCTAAGTTTAAATATATGCATTCCACTTGACTGGCGCGCATTGCTGACACCAGCGCCCCAAATCGGACCGACCAAATTGCTGACTTTGTTCTTTTTTCTTCGTGACAGGTTTTTGGTCCCCCACCTAAAGACCATGCAACCTCCGCGCTTCCCCAGCACGGCTTTGCTCGCAACGCATATTGGGAATTCCTAGGGAAATCGACTTCTGAATCAGAGGGGCAGGATGGTGATAGCAGTATTAAGCTTGACTTTGGCTTGTCGACAAGCATGTTGAGCGATAAATTCAAGAGCGATTGGCCGTATGAATTTAGCCTCGTGTACAGTGTTACGTTGAGCAAGGACAGCCTAGGTACGACGCTGCAGGTCCGGAATAAGGGAGAAAAGCCGTTTGATTTCCAGGTTTTGCTCCATTCGTACTTTAAGGTTGAGGTATGTTGTGTCATTTTGTTTTTTTTTTTTTTTTTTTTTTTTACAGAAATGTCGTACCGGCTCTATCACACCTATCTACGAAAAATATTATTCCTTCTTAACGTGCATCCTGCGGAACTTTTCAGCTAAAATTGTACAACAGGACATCGCAAAAATCCGCATTCTAAACCTCCAATCAAAAACATACGTCGACAAAGTCCTCAACGCATCAACGCACGTCGAATCTTCGCCGGCCCTCGCAATCACCCAAGAAACAGACCGGGTTTATCAATCCCTTGATCCCAAGGTTCCCATCGTCATCGCAAACGGAGATGATAACGACAGCTCACTCTTCTCCATCTCACGCGAATCTCTTGATGACATCGTAGTCTGGAACCCGTGGATCGAGAAGGCGAAGGGAATGGCTGATTTCGCTCCGGATGATGGGTATAAGAATATGATATGTGTTGAGGCGGGGTCTGTTGTGAAATGGCAGACGCTGGAAGCGGGCGAGTCTTGGGAGTGCGGGCAGGTTGTGAAGAGTAGGCTCTGAGGCTTCCACCCTATAGAAGTTCATTTGTGTGTAGATGAAGGGCGTGGCTTTGGTCGTTGTTCAGGCGAAACGGATAACTAATGAAATAGGAATGCCAAGGCGACCCCCTATGAAACTTCTAGGACCATCTAATATTTTTTTTTATTCGATTCTACATTAAGAACATGCGCATAGATATGTTTAGGTGCTAGACAGACGTATTTCTTCCAGGGATCTCCCCGTGTGTTATCCTTTCCGCCACTTTGCCAATTTTTGAACTTTTGAGACGCATGGTAGGTAGACGAGATTAAAGGGTATACTGATTTACTAACTAGATCTTTACACTCATATCAGCTTTGTATATATGTCTATTGCCGGCCGTAGACGCTGTTTAGTGAGTTCAAGGGAGTAAAATCACATGACCAACTTCAAGGCATTCATACGGGAAGAACGTAGGGTTATTACACGACCGGATTATGGTTGTTCCACCATTTCAATCAGTGACACGGTCGCTGAGCTGTAAATCATAGTATAATAATGAATGATGGAATCACTGTAAATAAGTTATAAACTGAAAAAATCAATTATCATATTAGTGATATCACTGAATTCAATCTATATAATCACTAATTCTAAAAACTGTCTCATTTATCAGTATTATTCTCAATTGAAAATTATAAATATATCTATCTAAATTCTTCTAAATTAACTGAATTAAGTTTCTTTTATAATCTTTATTTCTAGTTATATCACTCTTATTAATCATATCAATGAACTTATAAATTGAGATTTATAGATTAGTTATAATCTAAGAGACACTGTCATTAATTATCTGATATTTAAGAGTGAAGATTTTAAACTGATTAGACACTAAGTGTTTAAAAGTCTATATAATTATTAATCTCTAAATAAATCTGAGAATTATTTCACTGACTCTAACTTACTGTTTTAGTTATTATTATTATTACTCTTTATTTATAGATATATATAGTCAGAGACTATAATATCTATTTGAAAACTTTTAATTCTCAGAGTTTTTTTAATATCTATAAAGTCAACTATTACACATTTATTAATTTCAGATATATAAAATCAGAAAATTTCAGCTTAGATGTAAGAGATCTTGTAAGAAATTCTGCTTCTCGCGAATTCTTTACCTCTATTTCTATCTCTTATGTAATTAATAGAGTTAGCAGCTCTTGACTACACACAATTATATAGACTGAAGTTTATAAATACTATTTATAACTCAGCTTAAATACTATTATATATTTAATCTCTATATTTATCTTTCTACAGTGAATACTTCTAGTAGTTAACAGTATATATCATATCAAGCTGCAAACACTTAAATAATCATCTATGAGTACTTATTCTTATATTTCAAGCTCTGTTAGTCAGCAACTGTCTATTATAACTGAAAGAACTAGAAACTTATATACTTCAATCTCTATGAACTTTACTGTAGATTCTCAGAAGTAGTTATCTGAATTATAAATAATCTTTATAAAAGAAGTTCTAAAGAATTTATTAATTACTCACAGAATATTATTCTCTGTATCTGTGATAGAGAAACTCTCTGAATTTATGAATAAATTAATCTCAGTGAATAATATTCTTAAGTATCTCTTACAGAATCAAGCTATTTTTCTATAAGAAATACTTACTGTCTGTAAACACTCTTAAACTGAGTCTTTAAATGTGATCTTCAGAGATACCTGTGAACTGAAAAGAAACTTTCTTAAGTTATAATTACTTAAGATGATTTATTGAATCATAATCTATAAAAGCTTTTATAAGTTTATATTTAAAATTGACTTATAAGTCTGACAGTATAATATAAAAGATAACGAAGCTGTTATCTATATAATAATAAATCTCTACTACATTGAAGTCAAGAACTGACTGAATTATTGAGAGAATAATCATGAGAGATTTCAGTGATCTATTCTTAAGACCTATCTAGAGAATAAGTTAAGAGACTTTATACACTCAGCAGAGAACATCTGAACTGTAATTATTATTATTAGAAAAAGAAATAAGAAATCTGATAAAGACTACTTATAATACTTCATGAAATTATAATATAAATTAAGCTCTGTGAAGACAGAGATCTGAAATAAGATCTGAATAATGATATTTATAAAGAAGTTGATTAAAGATGTGTAGACTAAGCTCATTAAGTAAGACTCTAAGTTCTTAATTCTGAAGAAACTGATAACTCTTATTTATTACTTATAGATTATTGTGAGAGTTATAAATCTGTATAGAGTAGATCACTAATCAACTCTGTAAGAGTCAGAATAACAGAGAATAGATTTACTGAGAAAAGATAATAAGATATAGAGAGATTCATGTCTGAGTACTGAGTAGAGAGAGAGAGTTTTATAAGCTTCTACAAATATAGTATATAACAGAGAGACTAAGAAAAAGAGTCTCTACTTTATGTATTTTAAATCAGAATATCTCTATACACACTGTTTGAATAAATTAAAATAGAAATTTAAGAAGTTACAGACAGAGTCAGTAACTGTCTTCTTAAGAGTCTTAAAGCTGATATCTGAATCTGTTACTTTCTCAATGAAAATACATGCTTATAGAAAGAGACTGTGCTACAGTACTACTATCTCATCAGTATAAAAAGTATTAATAAACTCAGAATCTCAGGTCACTGTGATATCTCTAAAGCTTATGAAGTAAATGAGCTAAGTGATACAAAGTGAGAATCTACTCTTATAATAAGCAGAGTATGAGAACTCAGATCTGAGAGTTGAAAGACTTACAAGAGTTATCTTTGAATTATAAGATCTGTTCAGAACTTGAAGAAGATTTGCAGCAACTGTAATTATTGTAGATATTATAAATAACATGTACTTAAGACTTATATAACTTTAAAGACACAATTCACACATAGCTGTCTGTGAGTCAGGTTAATACTTTCAATCAGTGTTGACAGACATACTTAGACTGATCAGCAGAATCATGAATTTCACATTTGATCTCATTTAATCTGATCTTATACATTTCTTGACGTGAGTCTCACCAGAACCAAGCATCAAAAAAATCT